GGGATGGGGAATACATGTAAATCCATGGCTAATTCATTTCAATGTATGACAAAAACTACTGTAATGATGTAAAGTAATTAGCCTCCAACTAATAAAAATAAATGGAAAAATAAATAAATAAAGTACACGTCCTGCATTCGGGAGGTTTCCGCACCAGGGAGACCATATTTCATCTAAGACCAGGAACAGCTTCCTTTCCACTTGAAGATACTTCTTTTTGTTCAATGGTGTTTAAAGATAATACTATTTAATTCAAATCCTGCTGCCCTGGATGAAGACTGTACAGCTAATCCATTTAAAGTATGTTTTCTTGGGAATGCCCTCATAGTCCGGTGGATAGGACTCAGCACTTTCACTGCCGGGTCCCAGGGTCCCAGGTTCAATCCCCGGTCAGGGAACTAAGGTTCCACAGGCCACACAGTGCAGCCAAAGAATGAATGAATGAATAAAGTGTGTTTTCTTCCTACCTCATTTAATAATATATTTTTTAGGATTAAAAATTAACACACGCACTTTGTAAAAAAAAAAATTTGTAAAAAAAAAAATTGTAAAACAGTATAGATTAAAGGTAAAAGTGAAAGTTCTCTCTCCATTCCCATTCCTAAGAAGAGCCCAATGGTAGTGGCTCCTTACCCTCTAGACATGTTTGTGCATATCTGAAGACATACAGTCAAAAAGAGGCTTCCTTCATTCTAAAATGAGGGTGTCACACACACAGTTCTACAATGTGCTTTTTGAAGCCAGCGTGTTTCATGAATGTTCTTCCACCTCCATCCATAGAGAAGAGCCTGCATCTCTAATTGCTGCATCACTCCTAGTTCCACTCAGGGTACCAGGAAAACTACGATGAACTCTTATTTTTTCAGTATAGTTCCTCCATGGGAACACACAGCTTACTTGATTGAATCCATATTTTTAGATTATTTATCCATATAGCATGCATGAATGCTCAGTTGTGTCTGACTCTCTGCAACCCCATGGACTGTAGCCCACCAGCCTCCTCTGATTCATGGTATTCTCCAGGCAAGGATACTGGAGTGGGTTACCATTTCCTCCTCCAAGGGATCTTCCTGACCTAGAAATCAAAACTGCATCTTCTGTGTCTCCTGCTACCGACAGCAGGCAGATTCTTTACCACTAGCACCAACTGGGAAGCCCATTTATCTGTATATATTTTAACAAAACAGTGTGTACAGAGAAATGTATAGGTCATATGTTTCTAGGATCATTTCTCATCTTTATGATGATGTCTTCTGTTACTTCAGATATTAACAAGAGCGCCTCAGAAAGGACCTTCCCTGACCAAACTCTAAGTCAGCACTCCAAGTCACCATGACCCCCTTACCGGCTTCATTTTTCATCATAGTACTTTCACACCCTAACATTATATTATTTTTTTATTGATTCATAATTTCTCCAACTTCAATATAAGCTCACTTAGGGTGGAGACCTTGCCGTTTTGTTTACTGTTATATTCTAGTGCCTAGAAAACTTCATTGTAAGTGTCCATGAACTATTTACTGGATAAATCACCATATAAGCACAACACAATGGATATTAAAAGGCATCTCTTCCTAAAATTCTGGGTTTTCGGCTTGAATGTGTATGTATATGTGTGTGTGTTGGTGTGTAGCTCTCATCAAAAGCAAACCGACACAATTTGAATACTACAGTATCTATAGCTCCAAGAACTAATTCCTCAGTATGCATTCTACTGCAAATATATAAAAGTGGTAGAGCTGGGACACACCCAATAAGATGTTCCAGCAGGACATCAAAGGTCTTTGAACCACCATTCAGTCTTTTCTCCCCCACTGAACCTTCTAGTTTTGCCAGTACCAATAAGGGAGATAATTGACTTTATGTTCCTAATGAACATTAGATAAATTCTTTCCCTGAGTATATTAAAATTACTTCTTTTATCTGGCAGAATTTTTTCTCTGACAGTGTAATCAGTGGATATTGAATATATGATAAAGGTCATCACTAGGTTAGACTCAGTAGGGTGTAATATTTGTTAATATATACATTGTCATATGGGGTACTGCTGCTGCTAAGCTGCTAAGTCACTTCAGTCGTGACCGACTCTGTGCGACCGCATAGACGGCAGCCCACCAGGCTCCCCCGTCCCTGGGATTCTCCAGGCAAGAACATTGGAGTGGGTTGCTGTTTCCTTCTCCAATGCATGAAAGTGAAAAGTGAAAGTGAAGTCGCTCAGTCGAGGCCGACTCTTCGTGACCGCAAGGACTGCAGCCTAGCAGGCTCCTCTGTCCATGGGATTTTCCAGGCAAGAGTACTGGAGTGGGTTGCCATTGCCTTCTCCAATGGGGTACTGCACCTAGTAGTAAGTGCAAAAATTTAGTACAAGCTTACCTGTCATTGCGAAAGATCTTCGGTAGATACCTTCTGGGGAACCACATGGCCAAAGCACACATCAGAACCCAGAGGATTGCAAGTTCATCTAGCATCTGACCCAGGAAACTAAGAGTTGCATGGAAGTAGACGGATCCAATTCCTAGAATCAATCACAGCCAATAAAAAAAGGTCACAGAGGAGAACAGAGTCACAAATTCAACACACCGATTAAGGACAGCCTTTTCCTAAACGACTACCGAAATTACCAAATCACTCTCTCTGAGGAAAGAAGTAGAAGGACGAAACCTACACCATCAAGACATACAGACTTCACGTCTAGAAAGAGGATTTGAAGGAGGGCCCAAACACCAGCAAATCAGAACTTTAATAACTGCACAAGGACAGTGCATCTTCATCCACTGAGCCTTCATGGGAAAAGTCAATCAAAAGTCAACATTCTCTCACAGTTAAGAATTCCTAATCTGCCTGTGGAAGGAAATAAAAATTATACAAGTATTTCCCAGAATTACGAAGGATCAAACATCTAGAATTTGTTTTTGTTTTTTTTTAATTTTAGCCCTTTAGAAACCAGTTTCATCCAAATACAATTGTTTCACAAGACTTCCCTCAGAAGTTCACATAAAACTGCACTGGCACAACACCAGTGACTATTATATAAATGACTCTCAAATGCAATTAAGTGATAATTACGGTCAACCTTGTTATCAAGCCCATATTCAAAAGAGTCCTCCTTCTGGAGTCCAGGAAACAACAGAAAAGTTTGTTAAGACGTCAGAGTGACTCTGATTTACAAAGGGGCCAGGGAGTCTGCGAAGTTCCACTTCCTCCCTTTCAGCCCATGCTCACAAACGAATCCACTTACCCACCACAACTAAGAGAGTCCATATTAGGTAGATGCCGCTGTTGAAGCACGTTGCGTACTGACGGAACAAGCGCATGCAGATGGGCGGTAAAATGAAAAACAAGACGTTGCTGATCTGGGGGGTAGCGGGGATGAAAAACGAAAAGATGAATATTAAGTAAAAGGGCAAAAAGTAAAGCAGCTTGTTCCCAGCACGTCCTTTGTAAATGGAGATGAATGCGGCCACACATCTTTCTTTAACAAGAAAAAAAATTCACAACTAGGGAAACTTACAACTTCTTTAATAACCATTTAGTGATACTTCCTGCCTCTGTGATCCCAGGAGCAGCTATGAAAAGACTGGGGCTTCCCAGGTGGCGCTAGTGGGAAAGAACCTGCCTGCCAATGCAGGAGATGTAAGAGACTTGGGTTTGATCCCTGGACCGGGAGGGTGCTCTGGAGGAGGGCATGGCAATCCACTCCAGTATTCTTGTCTGGGAAATCCCATGGACAGAGGAACCTGGCAGGTGACAGTCTGTGGGGTCGCAAAGAGTCAGACACAACTGAGCATGTACGTACACACACACACACACACACAAAAACACTGTCATCTGAAAGCTGCCCAGAGTCCTCTCTTGATGTGAAGAATCAACAACTCTTTTTCTGCCCAGTTATGAAGCATCCTAATTTACCTGAATCACATCTTTAAAGATAAGGCCTACACTAAATAATGGCAAAATTTTTAAAAAGAATAGTTTCATGAAGAATGAAAAGGACTAGACTTGTTCTGCTGCTGCTAAGTCGCTTTAGTCGTGTCCGACTCTGTGCGACCCCATAGACGGCAGCCCACCAGGCTCCACCGTCCCTGGGATTCTCCAGGCAAGAAAGCTGGAGTGGGTTGCCATTTCCTTCTCCAATGCCCCCCCATAATTTTCTGCCAACCAGGTCCTGGGCCCACGTGAAGGCACGAGTGCCTTCCTCATTTCCCCCTTGTCAGTTTTCTCACCCTAAGCCAAACCTACTTTCAGGTAAAGATCAAATTTGTAGCTTTAAAATGGCATCATTTTATCTTTCAGACTGGATTTGAGTCTATTATCTTTTCACAGGTCACCTGGATTTTTTTAAAAAACCAGACTGGACAACCTAACTCTAGAACCTCATCTCTAATTTTTCTTTAATTTCTTTTTGTCTATCTTTTTTTTAACTAGGGGGAGTCATGGCCAATTCTTTTTTTCTCAGATTTTTAAAAACTGAGGTAAAATTCACATAACAAAACTAATCATTTTAGGAGTGTACAGTTCAGCAGCAGTTAATACAAGTGTAATATGCAATCATCACCTCTATCCAGTTCTGAAATGTTTCCATCACTCCAAAAAGAAACCTCACATCCATGAAGCTGTCACTTCCCCTTCTCCCTTTCCCCAGTCCCTGACAACCACTAATCTGTTTTCTGTCTCCACAAATTTACTTATTCTGAATATTTCATAAAAGTGTAATCATGCAATAAGTGACCTTTTGTGTCTGACTTCTTTTACTCAGCACACAGTTTTGGAGGTTCGCCCGTATTGTAGCATGTGTCAATACTTTCTTTTCATGAGTAATATTTCATTGTATGGATACCACATTTTGTTTACCCAATGTCCTTACTCTAACAGTGAACAATGCTTCTATGAATATTCACGTCCAAGGTTTTCAGCATTTGTTTCCCATTCTCTGATTTATATCCCCCCCAAGCTAACATCGCTAGATCATATGTTAATTGTTTGTTTAACTTATGAACAAGACAATTCGCCACAATGGCTGAATCATTTTACACTGCTACCAACAAGGTCCAAGGGTCCTAATTTTTCCACATCCTTGCCAACACTTGTTATTTTCTGAGGTTTTTATTTGCTTTGTTTGTTTAATAAGGCCACCCCAGAAGGTATGAAGTGGTAGGGATAATCAGCTTCTTTAAAAGTTTTACCTCTCACTGAGGAGTAAGGAGCTCCTTGGGAAGGACTGGGCAAGCAGAGGAGAGATGTGCGGAACGTTTAAACAATGTCTAAATGCGCAACATGCGCAAATGCATAAATGTCTAAATGCGCAACACCAGTGAGGAAGGGATGACAGGAGGGGTCAAGAAAGACTAAAGCCTTTCAGAGATGGGAAGGTGGAGTAGATGAAGGCTGAAAAGCCAAGAGCACGGGAGCTTTTGAAAGGAAAGACTGGTCACCCATATTAGACAAGACGGAGCAGGTCTCAAAGGAACCAAGAGGGTGGGTGCCCAAACTGAATGAAAGGAGCCAGGGTAGAAGGACTTTTCCAGACCTGGGAAGTCACACTGGGGCACAGTTAAACGAAACGCATCAGCAAACCCCAGAAATGGAGGCAAAGTGCGGGAAGACACTGGCAATATCGGTAACCAATGGACGTCTCTGTCATCATCTGGGAACAAGAGGGGATGGGAATGACGGTCTTTAGAAAGGGGAGAAGGACAGAGTGGAGAGAGATAAAGAGCAAGATCTTTTGTCAGGGTGGGATAGGAACAAGGCTGCTGCCTTTGGTTAAAGTTCAAGACAAATCCCTCATGGGGCTGCATCCTTCCGGAGAAGGGGGTGCCTTGCTCTAGTTGACCCATTCTGATGGGGACCTTTTTCTCCTTCCCCTCTTGGAGCTACTGGCAACCCTGGGTGAGAGTCTGGATAAACGACCACAGCAGTCCCAGGTGGTATGCAGTGTCCACACTTGGGAATATAGCCAACTCTCACTTATTTACTAAAAAGCAGATAAGGAGGGATTCAGGACAAGGCTCTGTGTAGTATCACAGCCTTTAACTTTCTATGGAGTTATTTAAAGAACCCAAGATGTTAGGAAAAAAGAAGAAAGCAAAGGAAAAAACTCAGATCTTTAAGAGTTAAAATGAGAGACCTTAACAGTCAGACACAATTGAGCATGCACGTGAGAGATGTTAAAAGTTTTATAAGGGGATGTTAAGTAATGGCCTGGAAAGGCTCCAGGCTAGCCAAGTTCAGAGAGGCAGTCACCCACAGAGGTGGGGCCAGCATCCAACCACTCTTTCCACTGCCCAAAGCTGACTTTTTTCACCTCCAATCCACTCAACCACATTCTGACCACCTTGGCTTCATGCTTCGATTGGCATCTGAAAATTCTGAATTGCCTCACACATTGTGCACCTATGACTTTTAGGTGATTTAAACATTGCTCTCTGTTTTGTTAAACATAGAGGTAGAAGGAATTAAAGGTGAAACGGGAAGGAGGAGAAAAATGGGATTGTGATACTATAGATAATTTTCTCCTCTCATGTACATGTTCTCCATGTAAGAAAAAGAATACATTACAAAGCTAAAGTATGCCTTGATATTCTCCTCCCTAGAGATACACACTCTTCTCAGATTCATAATCCTCAATTTCTTTGCATTTATTTAAATACATATATATCACATATTGCAACATTATATTTTGGCAACTTCCTTTTCTCATTCAGCAATACATCCTGCTAACCTTTTTGTCTTAAGTCACAGAGATTTATCACACCTGCTGAGGGTACTGCAGAAGGCAACACTTTATTGAGCCATTCCACTAATGGTGGGAAGCACACTGATTTATAGCCCTACCTAACAATGCTGAGGGGAGAAGGCAATGGCACCCCACTCCAGTACTCTTGCCTGGAAAATACCATAGACGGAGGAGCCTGGTAGGCTGCGGTCCATGGGGTCGCGAAGNGAGCATACTATGTGATGAGGACAACTGAAGTCACAGGATAATATTCTTACTATCACCCTCTCTCTCTATATATGTATATGTACATATATATATATATGGGCTTTCCTTTTAGCTCAGTCAGTAAAGAATCTGCCTGCAATGCAGGAGACCTGGGTTTGATCCCTGGGTCAGGAAGATCCCCTGGAGAAGGGAATGGCAACCCACTCCAGTATTCTTGTCTGGAGAATTCCGTGGACAGGGGAGCCTGGTGGGCTAAAGTCCATGGGATCGAAGAGTCAGACATGACTGAGCAACTGACACACACGCATACAGCAATTCAAGTTTTGCTTTCTGGAACTCTCTGGAATTTTTTTTTCCAAATATTTTCAATCTACACTGGGTTGAATCCACAGATACAAAACTACGGACATGGAGAGCCAACTGGATATGTTTATTGCCTCAAATCCTCTCAGTCTCCTTTGCTTCAGCCACGTACAACCATCTATGGCCAAGCTGTCCCTTAAAAGGCTTTTTCAACCTATGTTACCACTAGCATTGTATACAATAATGACTTAAATTTACACACGATTCACAAAAACATGAGGTAGTTTAATACACTTCCAGTGAAATTATGATACCTCAAGTATTTTAAATGCCCATCTTAGAGACTTCAATTTAGAAACACTATTTAACAGATAGTTCCAAATAACCCTGAAATCTCATTATTGCTTCTGTACAACCCATCTATCGATACTTGCTGGCCTCCACCATGCCTTTTTAGGACATAAATCTATGGGGACTTCCTTGGCAGTCCAGTGGTTAAGACTTCACCCTTCCCTTGCAGGGGACATAGGTTCCATCCTGGTCAGGGAACTAAGATCCTACATGTTGCACAGGAAAAATTAAAAGAAAAAAAGACATCAATCTTTGCAAAGGAAAAACCCAAATTAGAGGGAGATGCTCCCCAAGACAAAAAGAGGAAGGAACTCCGAAAGAATATGGGAAATGTGGGAAAGCAAATGAGTCGTGGTTAAAAAGATTCAATGGCTCCATCTCTACTGAGAAAACGAAACTTCCCCTCAGAGTTATGTAGCTCACTGAAGTTGAATAGTTCAGCCAAGGGGTATTTTTTAAAGCCCATTGTTGGATTATCCTTTGGAGAATTAGTTTGTTCAGTGCCTGCCTAACAGATTTTGTTTAATTAAAAGGAAACCACAATTTAAAAATTTATTATTTCCTTAGAGAGTTCCTCATTCTGTGACATTTGCACCAAAATAATCTCAGGAACACACTGCAATCTCATCCTGACGCATGAGATTGTGTATCTTCCTGGACAGAGGGCAAACACTGACAAAGCAACAGGCTGTAAATTCTTCTAAGCAACAAGTTCATAAATAGCTAACAGACATTACCGTGGCTGAGGAGACTACGTATCTTAATTGAATGCAGGTTCCTAATGATCCATTCCATGGCTTTCTTCCTGCCTCTGGGATGACCAACTGTCCTAGTATGCCAGGCGCTGAGGAGGGCTTCCCAGGACATGGGACTTTCAGTTTTAAAAATGGGAAAATTCCAGGCAAACCAGAACAAGTTGGTCACCCAGCTCAGAGGCCTCCCTGCAAAATTCACCCACCTCCCACAGTATACCACCCAAGCAGAAGACAAACAACACCTTGAACAGGGGTCTCCTGCATTGCAGGCAGATTCTTTACCCGCTGAGCTATGAGGGAATCCCACAAACAACACCCCAGCCATTTGTATATATATATATCTCTTCTATGGTCCTCACCACCCAGGTGACTATTTGCGGGTCTGGTCTCTGTGATAGGCACACAACTGCCCAGCAAGTGGATGGCTAAATGGATAGACAGAGAGACTGACAGACTGACTGATAGACAGTCCTGTCCTACAGAGAGTGGGCTGTGAGCTTTGGCATATAAAGGGAACTCCACTTATCTTGATGATGGGGGCAGAGCTGAATAGAGGAGGTGACAGACCATGGGCTGATTTTAGGCACATATTTTTCTTCAAGACATTTTTTCAGCAACAGTTCATTTCCTTCTGTCCCCCTGGGTCCCCAACAGAATTCCCAAAGGCCAAGCTAAGTGATTAAAACACAGACACCACTTTTCTCCAAAGATGCAAATCCAAAGGTCTTGGATCTTTCTCTGACTGTGGCCAGGCCTTAAAACTTAAAATATAAAAAGGAACTTAATAAAACTTGTATTTAAAAGAAACAGTACAAAATGTGCACAGGCAAAAGGCTGTGGAAGGGCATGATATGTTCTTGGAAGAGATATTTGGGCTTGGCTGACGCAAAGGATGATGACAAGATTTAAGGCAATGGAGATATATGGGCACCAAAAGCAAAATGCTCTATACTCCCAAACATTGCCAGTGAGACCACAGATCAGAGTGCTTTCTCTGGTGGACCATTAAGCAACAATCACTAGTCTTCAAAGTAAATATTGCCCTCGACACAGCAATTTCCTATCTAGAACTAGTACTTGGAGAAGTACATCCAGATGCCTATTTGAGGACATTCATTGCATAATTGTTCGGAAACCAAAATGAAAACAATAAACAGGAACTGCCCTAAATGTCTATCAATAATAAATTGACTGGTCAATCCATTAAAGGGAATACTATACAGATACTGCAAAGAAGAAAATAATTCTATACAATCCAATATGGGATTATCTGCAAGACAAATCAAGTGAAAAAACCAAGGTGTAGAAGAATTTCTATAGTGTGATCTCAACTGGGCTGGAAGAAACTTTGGTTGTGGTGTGTATATACACAGGCTTCCCCGGTGGCCCAGACAGTAAAGAGACTGGCCTGCAGCGCAGGAGGCCTAGGTTTGGTCCCTGGGTCAGGAAGAACCTGGAGAAGGAAATGGCTACCCACTCCAGTATCCTTGCCTGGAGAATTCCATGGACAGAGAAAGCTGGCAGGCTACAGTCCATGGGATCACAGAGAGTCAGACACAACTGAGTGACTAACATGTGACTATACATGTTGCACATGTATTTTCTATGTTTACACAAATACATGTTTTTTACATGCTTATAATATGTCTCAAAAGATACAGAAGAAAGGGTATTTTTCACTTTATAACTTGCATTTTTTTTTTAACTATGATCATGTTGTTACTTTTATAATAAACAACAACAATGGCAAAAAAAAAAAAAAAAACCTACTTCAAATGACTTCCCTGGTGGTCCAGTAGTTAAAACTGCACTTCCTCTGCAGGGGGCCTAAATTCTGTCAATCCTTGGTCTGGGAACTAAGATCCCACATGCTGCAAGTAATGGCAAAAAAAAAAAAACCTACTTCAAATGACTTCCCTGGTGGTCCAGTAGTTAAAACTGCACTTCCTCTGCAGGGGGCCTAAATTCTGTCAATCCTTGGTCTGGGAACTAAGATCCCACATGCTGCAAGGTCCAGCCAAAAAAAAAATCCCAAAGCTTTTAGTCCCATATCCACTACCATGACTAGCCTAAAGATCAAATGGTCCCAATGCAGGAGTTTTAAGTTAAAGAATGACTAAATAATAAATACCTATACTGTGCTAAATAAATTTAAAGTAGCTACAATGGCATTTGCATCTTCAAGAGCAGTATCTTAGTAGGGTCAAATGGACCATCCATGTTCTAACTCCAGATCTGCCATTTTCTTGACCTTACCAAGTTTCAAAATCTATCTAGGCCTCAGTTTTCTCCTGTATCAAATGGATGTAATAAACAGCACCCACTGCTGAGGGTGACTGTAAAAGACCCTGGGGAGCTTCAACAGAGCAAACAACTAGTGGCAGCCAGGAGTGACCGCAGTTGTAGTAGTGACAGCCAACCACTAAGATCCATTAAGAAGGTTCTAAATCCCCCTTCTGAGTCTTCTCCTGATTTTACATCTTTAATTTTTTTCTCAATCAGTAATGATTATTATTTTCTTGTAAAATAATTAGGCCTGCTGCCTTACTCTGGGAATTTAATGAGATGAAGGAAATGGCAACCCACTCCAGTACTCTTGCCTGGAAAATCCCATGGATGGAGGAGTCTGGTAGGCTACAGCCCATGGGGTCCCGAAGAGTCAAACATGACTGAGCGACTTCACTTTCACTTTATCACCAAGCAGCTCACCATCTTCCCTGAAACAGGAGTAAGATAAGCATGGGTTTGTTCTGTGACAAGGATCAAGAAGCTAACTAAGACATGGGAAGGAGAGGAGGAAACGCTTTTTGCTAAATTCTTTGGATCTACACTCTACAAAGTCTGATGACCGACTTCTTCTCTGAGACCCGGTCTCCGCACTTTGCTAAAGCAAATTCTGTGGTTTACAAGTATGCCAAAGAACGAGGTTTGTCAGGGGGACCAACAGAGCTAATCAGCCACAGATGCTGCAGCTGAAGATCAACAGCTCATTTCTAAAAAAGACTTTAGCACTCACTGCATAACAGCTCCAACAGGACCAGGTTAAAAGTAAAGACGAAAATAAGCTCTCCTCCTCATCCAGCACCCTGGGGGAGACTCAAAGCGGCTATACACTAACTTTTTTGGTCGAATAACTAGACCTGACTCTACTGGCCTCAGACACCGCAGATAATTACCTTGCTGGGTATGTGAGAATCTGTCCCCAAGCTGCTATTTCTTCTCTAACTCTGGTGAAATCCTTAGTAGTACTCTCCACTTACAAATGGAAAAACTGACTTACTGCCTTTGAAAGCACCCGACTGCACACTCTGAAACAGGCTGTACAATAGGTGGAGGGTGCCACCTCTGATGACTGCATGTGTCACAGCTTCTAGGGGCAGCAGAGGACCAGGTTTCCTTGCAGAATTAACCCAGTCATTTAAAAAAAAAAAGGAATGTTTGCTGGGAGGGCAGCCCAGGAATTCAGCACTGAAGGGACGGAGAGTACAGGCCCTGGATCATGGTCCCAGCTCTGCCAGAAATGACCACAGGGCCGCTCCCCTCTCCAGAGTCAGTTTCCTCAACAGTGAATAGAAGGATGGGGACAAGCTCTTGGAGATCCCTCCAGGCAATAAGCAATGACTCAAGCCCAGGACATTCTCTCCAGCAAATCAAAGGAGAAAATCCTAAAGAAGAAAGTCAAAATTCACAGTGACTCACATAGCAGGAGTTGCTGTTTTCCATATTACAGCAGTGAAAAGATAAGCTGCAGAAATGACCACACAAAGTCTTACATCTGGAACCACATTTGGACTTAGCAAAAAGAATAAATAGACATTTCCTTCCCAACTGCAGGCTTGGGCTTCCCAGGTGGCACGGTAGTAAAGAATCCGTCTGCCAGTGTAGGAGACGCAAGAGACACAGTTTCAATCCCTACGTCAGGGAAATGACAACCCACTCCAGTGTTCTTGCCGGGAAAATTCCATGGACAGAAGAGCCTGGCAGGCTACAGTCCATGGAATCACAGAAAGTTGGACACAACTGAGCACACACACACACACACAACTGCAAGTTTTCCCTACCACGAAAAACTACAAGCACGCAAGATTCTGCAATGGGACAGTTTCCTCTTGACCACAGCTACAGACCCAGGGAAGTCCAGAAAGCATACACACACACACACACACACACACACACACACACACACACACACACACAGATCACTCCCAAATTTCCCTTTCACTTCTTTGGCTTAATTACTGCACAGAGCACAGGCCTAGGGAAATTGATCTAGGGGCTAGTGTGAGGCTCGGTACTAAAGGCAAGAACTTGGTAGTAATTAACTTGATTCTGGCCCCAGGTAACTCGACCCATTATTGATGTTACGTGGAGCGGAGGCGGGCAGCGCCAACCTTCGGAGTGGGCCCGGCCCCACAGACCTGCCTGGAGGTCACCCCTTTTCCCCGACTCCTAGAGCAGGTACTCGGGCAAAAACCGCACAATGCGACCCAAGTGCGTCACACCACAGAGATCCTAAGGGAGGAAGGGAGTAGTCCCCCGGTTTCACCGCTCCCAACTGACCCAAACTGGAAGAATGGGCTGACACGGGGCACCAGCTCCGGGACGGGTGGGGACCACACAGGACAATAGAGCCATCAGAAAGAAGGGGCCAGAGGAGGAGGATGGCCCAGATGTCGGGGACACAGACTGCAGAGGACAGATGGAGAACTGGAAGGCGCGCAGGGGAGGGGGCGTGGGTCGACTCTGGCCGCGGAGCGAAAACGCCCCAGATACACACGTCGACCAGGGTGCGGGCTCCAGGTGCGGCGGCTGCGCTGGGAGACAGCCCCCTCCCGCCAGCCCGGCTGCCATCCCCGCTCCCGTGCCCCGCACCGTGTTGTAGAACTCGGCGATGGCAGGCACGATGGTGTAGTTGTCCTCGCACCAGTCCACCTCCGAGCTGCCAGCCCGCAGCTGGTCCCACCAGTGCGGGGCGCTCATGGCCACTCTGGGGCATTGGAGCAGAGGCTCCCGCAGCCGAGAGGAGGCCAGAGCTGCTGCTGGAAACCGACGGTGGTGGGGGCGGCAGCGGCGGCCGCGGCTTTAAGCACCACGGGACAGCCCCCGGATGTGGCGCCTCCTGGGCCGGCCTCTCGGGGATCCGCTCTGTCCTGTAGGACGTGACTGGCTCGCGGACCCCCTCCCTAGGCTCCGCCCCCTGGGGGAGCCTGCAGGACCCAGGACCGGCCACGCCCACCCCAGAGGCGGGATGTGCGGGGGAGAGGGGGCAGGCGGGAAGGCGGGACCCGCCCACTGCACCCGCCTCTAAATACTCCTGTTCCCAGCAGGTGGCAAAGGCTTTGAGAAGCCTGCCCCCGCCCACCTTCCGGCTCAGACTTGCAGGCGCCCCCTACCCTTGTTAAGCGAGTTGTGACAGAACTCTCCCTGGCAAAACTTAAAATTAAGGAGGAAACCCGGGGGGACCGGACCCCTACGGAATCTTGGCGAAGTTTGCTCAGTCTTGCCTGTATGATACGTGGGACACCCACTCTCACGGAGAAGTCATTGCTTGGTGCGGTGGGCTGGGTCAAGAAGACCTTGGGGACCGGAGTGGGGGACCAAGGACTCTCCCACGCAGCCTCTGCCACTCAAACCCTGGTGGAGTGCTGCTGCAATTTTGAATACTTTCCTGCGCGCCGCCCCTTGGAGTCCAATGCTAGAATAAAGTTTTCTATTACCCATCGAGTCAAACGTCAGCTATCCGAACCCCCAAAGGATGCAGTGTGACAGGTATGGCACGTCCAGAACACCCCAGATACGAGAGATGATGATGCATATATTGCACTTACTATGTACCAGGCTGGAGAAGGAAATGGCAGCCCACTCCAGTATTCTTGCCTAGAGAATCCCATGGACGGAAGAGCCTGGTGGGCTGCTGTCCATAGGGTCGCACAGAGTCAGACACGACTGAAGTGACTTAGCAGCAGCAGCATGTATCAGGCACTTGTTGAAGAGCTTCCATGTGTCACTTAGCGCTCCCAGAGGGGATCCTAGGAAGTGGGTGCTATCGGCAATGCCATTCTAGCTAGTAAGTGGCCAAGCTAGAAATCAAATTCAGGATGATCTCAACTGTGAGATAACTATTTTGCTTTCGTTGCTGTAACTGTTCTACATGAGGTAAGAGCTAGGTGGGTCCCAGGGTGAACAGCTGGTTCGTCCCCTGTGGACAGATACCCCAAAATAGCCGGAGTGAGAGAGGAGATGAGCCCTACCCAGATAAAAGATAAAAGATTACATACCCCTCATTTGCAAAGTCAAGAGGACCTTTCTGACTATACCTGCTCAGAAAGTTTCCCTGGAGGTACATAGGGAGGGGTGTTGATACCCTATCACCCCATAGTGAGTGGTGTTGATACCCATGGTCTTCTTTGCTAGAATCCATCTTGGTCAAGAGATGTGTGCACACACATAGGAGAACCCTGAGACACACCAAATACAGACGCTGAACCTGGCAAAGCAAGATGATTGGCTAAAGGAAACCCAGAAGAAATGCCCCATAAAAGTGATTCAAGCTACTGCGAGGATGCGACTCTCTCTCTCACTCTCTCTCTGAACCTGCCTGTGTGCCTATCCGTGTATCCTTTTCCTCCTAATAAGACACTTGACTTGTTTCACTTCTTTCTGTGTCTATGTGGAAATTCATTTCTATACAGCTGATGGGCCAGGGTCTTGTCACTGACCACTGGTCCCTGGTGGTCTAGTGGCTAGGATTCAACACTCTCACTGTCGAGGCCTGACTTCAATCTCTGGCCAGAAGCAGAAATCCTGCTTCAAGCCTCTGCAGGCCCAGGTCACCTGAGATCATGTAGTTTCTATATCAAAGCTAATCTAGTCCCACTGATTCCTGGATAAAGAAAAAGCCAATTGTTTCAGTTGGTCATGGCTCTCATCCTTCTTCCTTGGGCAGCTCTAGAAATTCAGCTTAAGATAGCAGTGGCAGAAGAGACCCTGGTCAGGTGACTGTCACTAGGATCTCCATGCTGCAGCCTACGTGGTACCCTGGAGGCCAGCGCCTCCCAGGGCCTGACCTCTCTCTGACTTGACTCTCCACTTGGCCCCTGGCTAGTGCTCCAGGGTCTTATGCTCCCAGTGTCCGTCTTCCACAGGTTCCTGCAGAGCCATTTGTTTATCTTTCCAGACCTCCATCACTGATAGAAACTGCAACCCCCGACTCCTCTCCTATACTCAAGGAAACCCAGCTTTCACCCCTGGGAGCCAGACCACACTTCTCTTTTCAACTTTGTCCCAACTCCTATCCTGTCCTCTTCCTAGACAGCTAGTTCCACCGTGTCCTGAGAAATAAAACTACCATATAACCCAATAATCCCATTCCTGGGCTTATATCCCAAGAAAACTATAAAAGGTACCCTAATGTCCATATCAGCAAGACATGGAAGCAAACTAAATGTCCATTGACAGATGAATGACTAAAGAAGGTGTGGGGTATATATACATAAACAATGGAATATTAATCAGCCATAAAAAGAATTAAATACTCCTATTTGTAGCAACATGGACAGACCTAGAGATTATCATAGTAAGGGAAGTAACCAAATAGGGAAAAACAAATGTCATATGACATCAGTTACATGTGGAATCTAAGAAAAATGATACAAGTAAATTTATTTACAAAACAGAAATAGACTTACAGACACAGAAAATAAACCTATGTTTACCAAACAGGGAAGTGGGGAGAGGGATAAATTAGGAGTTTGAGATTAACATATACACACTACTATATACAAAAGAAATAACCAACAAAGACCTACTGTATAGCACAGGGAACTAAACTCAATATTTTATAATAATCTATAAGGAAAAAGAATCTGAAAAAGAATATATATATATATCTGAATAACTTTGCTATACACCTGAAACTAAACAACATTTTAAATCAACTATACTTCAATAAAAAAATAAGACTTTGTAAATTTCTAATATGATAAACATTGGTAGATATTATTACATAAAAAAAAATTCCTTACATTCCTTAATTTTTTAGTATTACAGGAGTCCTCAGATCAAAAAGGTTAAGAGCTGCTATTTAAAAGAAAGATATCCCCAATTAACTCATTTGTAAAAGACTTTTTATCATTTAGTTTGAAATATTTATTGAATGAGAGCTTTTAGACTTAGACATATATCATTATACATCATTCTTGAGCATACAATAAAAAGAAAAATAAAAGCAAAAGAAATTCATTAAGCAATTCCTGTGGTTTCTTCACACACAGAATGTCTATTCCTCTGAATCATTTTTTGACTCAAAACTGCCAGTGTCCTTAATTACCAAGTCCAGGTGATGCAGCAATTTTAAGAGTACTTCACACTATTGTTTGCTTTCCAGCCATGAATATCTCTCTCGTGTACTCCTTTGGATGCTGGCGTATTCTTTTTTTTTTTTTTTCATATTCTTGATCTTACCTGAAGGTGTCAATAGAAGGTTTTCAGACAACAGGAAGCATGTTTCTTTTCCAGACGGTCCTTGTACCATTTGTTGACGGAAACATGGAGATTACAGTCACCAAGTCATCCTACCAGGAAAAACCACTGAGTTTGTGTGTGTTCAGGCAGTGACAAACCATCTCTTCTGTCACCTGGCCAACCATGATTATAAAATGCCATTCATTGTAAGATGTACCTAAAATTCAGCAATATTACAATGCAAAACAAAGTTTTAGTATCAGTGAAATTTGGAATTCGCTGGATAGTATTCATTCTTCTCTCCAAGTCCTGCTAAGAGAATGATGGGGAATTTTCTTCCTACACAGGAAGTCTTATTGCGGATGACAGTTCTGTTTCAAAATCAAAGCTGACCCCTTGGGTTCATCTAGTTCCAACTGCACAGAGAGACGGTGCTCAGCCAAAAGCCATTGGTGACCAGCATGAAGGATGCAAGTTACATTACTCCAAATATGCCTGTGTTGGCCTTCTTGGAAGTGTTTTAACATTTTTCTGATGTTTTCATCCACTCTCTCCATTGCTAACATTTTTTCAATGGATATAACCTTAGTCACTTAATACCACGACCTATCATTCGGTTCAGTTCAGTTCAGTCGCTCAGTCGTGTCCGACTCTTTGCGACCCCATGAATCACAGCACGCCAGGCCTCCCTGTCCATCACCAACTCCGGGAGTTTACTCAAACTCATGCCCAAGGAGTCGGTGATGCCATCCAGCCATCTCATCCTCTGTCATCCCTCCTCCTCCTGCTCCCAATCCCTCCCAACATCAGGTTCTTTTCCAATGAGTCAACTCTTNGTGATAGAGATCTAGGAGAGAGCGGGTTTTGGAGAACCACCCTTGCAGGGAAATCAGGATGCCAGCATCTATTTTTACAGAATTTATAACTATTTATTTTTGGTCTAAGTAAATATCTGATGATAAATATCCAGTTCAGCTGGTCCCACAAGTGGAAATAAATCACCAAGTAACAAAGTCTGCCTTGGGGGAAAAAAAAGAGGGGCAAATGCTTATGTAAATGAAGCAAGAAGTGCATGATCAAAGATGAAATTTTCTGCATTTTGCTGTTTGGCCAGAGTTTTTCATCATTGGTCATGCTTGAGGCTTGTCGTTTAGACCAGTGATTCTCAAGGTATGGGGCCAGCAGCATCAACACCACCTAGGAATTTGTTAGAAATGCAAATTTCTATGTCCATAGCCCAGACCTATTGAATCAGAAACTCTGAGGATGGACTCCAACAACCTCCAGCTTAACAAACTCTCCAGGTGATTTTGACCCACACTCAAGTTTGAGAATCACTGTTTTAGCTAATACACTAGTGGTATCGGTAAGAAAATTCACTCTGGACTATATACTTAGCTTCCCTGATAAAAAGAAAAAGGAAAAACAAATCCAAGCCAAGACAGCAGCTGCTGCTGCTACCAAGGAAAAGAGGAAGAAAAAAAAGAACCCAGTGAAGGAAGTCGTTCTTTCATCAGGCTCATCAGCAGGAAACTAGGGCTCAGAGTGTGGTCCCTTCTCCAGCCAGGAGAGAAACA